GTTAAAGTTAACCTTTGAGGGCCAAAGTGCAAGAAAATGATTCTTAATCATATATAGGGGTCATGTGGTCATTTTATCGAACTTTAAGGGCCTAGAATGTAATTTATCATGTATTTAAACTAACCTAACCCTAAAATCCGGGATTAAACCCTATTTTTAGCCTCCAACTCACTTGGATAGGAGTTCTTAAGTGTGCTTGACATTTTTAGAGTGGGCGGGTGAATCTAGTGAAACAGGAGTGAAGATTGAAGCATTTTTGGAGGATTCTTGGTGGTGGTCTTGGAGTTCTCCCCTTCTAGTGGATCTCTTGGAGTCATCCTAGATTTTCGAGTAGGTATAAATATATTTCTTACCATCCATCTCTATTTTCAAATCATTAGAAGTCATTTAGGTGTTAGTCATGACTTGTGTGTGTGGTTTGGTGATGTTTGGCAAAATTAAAAATCTAGACAGATTCGTGACCTGTATTGCGAGGGATGTAGAGGCTATTCTGGTCAAAATTAGAGAAAATAACCAGAATAGTAAAGTTGTGGAAAATCGATTCTAGTTTCCAAAAAGTCTGATAACATCCCTTTTGGAGTTGTATATTTTGTTTTACGATCAAAACACTGAACATGGGTCGGACTGTGACACTTCAAAATATGAAACTTAGACTTTGCTTTATGTTTTGATTGCTTTTTTCTAATCGGGATTTTGTGAAACCTTTTAGGGTGCTTAGTGGTCTCTTGGAGAGTGTCTTCCTCAATTCATTACTTCCCATAACTTGGATTTGAGGTGAGTCATTCTTGTGGTTCTTTAGTACATACATGGAAGTTTGCATGCTTTAACACAAATGTTTGGTGTAGGATATTGTATGTGGTGTTACAATCTCATTCTTGTGTGATGTTTAGGCTATAAAATCATGATGTTCTGTAGTGGCAAACTAAGTAGGGGAGATTTATATGCTAGACTCCATATTATGTTGAATTTTACATGAAAAGAGTGGATAGGTTCTGCTAGACGTGAGGAAATGCATGCTAGACCCCATATTTGATGTTAATATAAGAAGTTGTGCATGCTATGATTCTGATATAACATGTTTAATTTGGAATTAGGAAATGCATGCTGGCGAAGTATGTTGCTAAAAATGTGTATTTTGTTTACATGCTTTTTTGATATGACATGTGGTGTAATATAGCTTGAATTAATAAATAAGAAAAAGCATGATTACATAATATTGAATGGTGAGGTGTGTGTATGACCTATACGAGTGAATTAATTATTTAAAAATTAATTAAAAATGGGAATACATATAGCGGGGGTAAAGGGTAGTAACCTGCACTTAGGTATGTCCCTTACTCGGATATAACGGTGGCATGTTAGGTTGGAACATTACTAATGGGCAAAGAGCTTAAGCCATGAATGGTGTCGAATGGTTTTCTAGGTAACCATTCAGATGCATGATCCCAACGTGCGAAGGCTGAGTGATACTGGCTACATTGAGACGCCAGATCAAACATCACGTTTGAGTGGGGGTATATACAGTGAAAATACTAAGTGTACCACTCTCAAATGACAATGCCTTAGGCAACATCATAGTAACATAGAGAACTAGAGAGACGGTGTTACGGGTGAGAGCCGTGCCTCACTTGGTGCACTGGGTCGTCAGGTCACGCTAGTAGCGAACAAGGTCTTTTATGGGGGAATTATCGGTGTTTAGACCCATGATTACAGTGGACATAAAATTAATTATAACAGAGATAAAGAATAAATAATTACTAAGGTGAGATGTCAACGATTAATATATTCATAATATATTGATATTAATTTATGGTGAAAGGTGATTGGTAAGAGACATGTAGTGTGGTTTTTTATGTGATTGATTGTCTTGTATGAAATATGCATGTTTCCATACCTGTGTGTACTTGAGATTGACTCACTGTGCTGATGTTGACACTTATTTATTTGCCTGTTTCTTTCGCCTTACATTGATATATGTAGCTTGATTGATGGGCTTGGTGAGGATGGGACTTTGGGTAGTTATATCTTAGATGTTATCGTAGCGATGATACCGTCTTGGATATGTTATGAGTTTTCATCCGATTTTGGTTTTACAAACTTATACTTGGATGTAGGTTATTCTTAGATGATTTTTAAGTAATGTTGGTGATGTTTTCAAATAAATTAAAACTAAGAATTCCGTTGCTTTAATTTGTTACATGGTGTTTTTAAAATAAAAAAAATAAGGTGAAAAATCACGACGTTACAACAATGCTATGTATAATGGAAAAGTTAAGCCATGTTGGTCTTCAACACAATTATGTGAGATAACTAATTGAAAGTGGTACCATAAAAATTGTCTATGTTAAGATAATTAGGAACTTGAAGATCCACTCACCAAACCTCTAACAAGAGATTTAGTTGGAACTACTACAAAATTCATGGGTCTAAAACCATAATATAATCGTTTAGTGATGAAAACCCAACTTGAAATTAGTGCTCTTAGTTCTCAACTTTAAAGGGTAATAACAAAGGTACTAACAATATCATGTACTATCAATAATGATAGATCCATGTAAGGTAAGATAGTACGTCGTTTCCGAGGATGTGTTTGAGTTAAAACTCTTAACAAGAGTTTGGAGACATCTAAAGAACGAACATTAACTTTGCCTTTATGATCTAGAGGTGATGTTGCCTCAACTAAAGATCAATGGTTTATCTTCTATAGGGTAATGAAAAGGGTTTATAGTGTATGCTTATATTCGCACTCAGTGAGAACGCAATGATGACATATGATGTGTAGAGGTAAATCGAAGAGTTCATAAGGTTCTTGATTTATATCTATAGGATACCACTGAATTGGTCTGTTCTTGTTTGTTCATACTAAGTTTAATCTTTGTAACACCCAAGTGACATTATCTGTCTAAGTGAAAGGAAACTTACCAGCTTGGTGGGGTTGTTGGAAATTTAGAAGTGATAAATTATAAATTAGCAATTTTAAATTGTCCCACATAGGTAGGTGGAAGAACTCAAAGAGACTTTATAAGGCTTTTACCATCATAAGCCTCCAAGAGGCAGTATTAGAGATTAAGGGATGGGATAAGACCACATAAGCGCCTCGTTGGGTCCATGATGCGACTCGAGGTTTGCGAAACGACATGATTTAGGCATACTTTTCACTTCGGACCTCGAGGTTTGCGAAACGACATGATTTAGGCATACTTTTCACTTCGGACGACACATAGGCCATTGGCAGTTGGGGAACTTTTTTTTAGCAGGTTCGAGTCGGATCGGTTTGAACCGACCTTATTAATACGTTGACTTTACGTTGATTTCATGGATAAGATTGTGGAAGCTTCTAGAAGATTCCAGAAAACGCATTGCTTACAAAGCAAAGCGTCACGACCAAGGTTTGCGAAACGACATGATTTAGGCATACTTTTCACTTCGGACCTCGAGGTTTGCGAAACGACATGATTTAGGCATACTTTTCACTTCGGACGACACATAGGCCATTGGCAGTTGGGGAACTTTTTTTTTAGCAGGTTCGAGTCGGATCGGTTTGAACCGACCTTATTAATACGTTGACTTTACGTTGATTTCATGGATAAGATTGTGGAAGTTTCTAGAAGATTCCAGAAAACGCATTGCTTACAAAGCAAAGCGTCACGACCAATGTTTAACCTGGTCAAATTCACAAGACACGTAGCGAGTTGTGATATGGCTGTTGTCGTTATAGTCTGCAATTTTTTGACCGTCTCTTTGGGTTTCTACGATTATAAATACAACTCACTAGAGTTGTATTCCATAACAGAAAAAAATCAAGGTCTACTATCTCTTCTCTCTTTTCTCTTCTTCTTTCTTTCGAATATTCACTTTGCGTTTATCGGTTCTTCCATAGTTATTTGGAAGAACGATAATTTGCATTAATTGACCAATATAAAAACTTTTAAGGACAATAGTCATCTAGTGTAGTTTATAAGTCAAGAATCCGTTATTTCATGTAGTTTTACTTTTGTGTCTCATATTTTAATTCATCAACAATGAGATAGTTTTATTCTAGATTTAATCGCGAATGATCAATCTGATTTTTGAACGAAGCTTTGTAATTAAATAATAATAATAATATGTTTATTATTTGTGACAATTCAATATATAATTCTTAATATTATTTGTTGGCATTTTTGCATTTGAATTTTACTAATGATTCGATATTAGTTTACAATACTAATCGTCATTTGTTTGTTTGTGAACTCGAAGTCTGAAATATAACAACAAATGTTATTGTTAACATATGTTATTGACTTGCTAATAGACTTTTAAACATAGATCTTTGAAATCAATTTTCTAATATAAAAAGAAGTCCAAATATGTTTCTAATTTAAAATCAGTAAAAAACATATTTTGCATGCAAGTTATTTTATCCATTTATAAATTGTACCAAAACAAAAGGATAAGGACATAAAAATGACTTGTAAACAACTACTAGTTGCCAATTTGGCAATATGTTCTTCTCTTTGTTTTCTTTCTCCCTCCATTTTTTTGCTTCAAGTGATGTCAACACTCACAACCAATTATTTCAAGGTTGAGCGGCTCTATATTTTTAACGATCAATTTAACCAAAACAAACCGTTTTTTTCTTTTCAAACCCAAAACTATGTTGTTTTAAGCATAAAAATTTCAAATTAAGAACTGAAAAGAAAAGAATGTTCTATAAAATATACCATTTAGTACCGAATGATTCCAATTCTATTGAACTAGTTTTAAATCAACTTGGTTTTTTTATTTCATTGTTTTCTACTTTTATTGGTTTCTGTCCAATACACTCCAATCGTAGACAACAACTTCACTAATCCATTGCCAACTTGTATACAATTGACCAAAAAGATTCAAAATACAAGATTTATTCTTTAGAAACACAATATGAAACAATCAAAACTTTTTATTAGTACCTACATTGTCCTTGTGACACCTCCTTTAGATTGATATCAACAAGTCTATGAACATTATCAGGAATAAAATCACTCTCTATCACTTTGCTTTCGGTTTTTGTTATGGACCCTTTCATGTTTAACCAAACCTTGAATCGACACATATCCTTTGAAGCAAATCGGGCATTTATAGTCCTTTGATCTTCTTTTTAACTCGATCGACATCTCAGAATCAGTAAAATCTTGACCAATTGACTTGGACTTCACTAGAGTTGACCCGAACCGACCCGTATTAAGTTGACCCGACCCGGACCCCACAACCAAATCTTTTCTCAAACCCAATTCAGAATTGCTCTTGAATTTACAAAACTCCATTGACCCATCATCCAAAAAGTCAACTCCAACAGTCTTTTCAAGAGTTCTTGAATAGCCATGTGAAATTACGGATTTAACCCCATCCAAACTTCTAACTCCCCCTAGAAAGCATCATCAAGTTCAACGCCGCTTCTACAACTTCGTCGTCATTGGAAAAGCTCAAACTAGTGGAAATGTGATTAGGCTTAGGAGACTTGTACCTTGTGCATGATCTCTTTTTTCTTACAGGATTTGCTACTCCATCGTCATCATCATGTTCATGTTCGTGTTCATCTGATGACGAAAATGCAGATGATTCATCCAACGGCTGAGATCTTTTGATGGAATGACATCGCATATGACCATACAAAGCCTTCACTGAATCAAAACCTTTCCCACATTTTTCACACACAGTGTTCTTGATCGTTTCTTTTCTTGAATGACATCTTTTGTGTGAAGCAAAAGCTTTTGATGAATTTGGATTTGAATTTGAACTCGAAACCCTCCATGATCTTTTAGGGTTCTCTCTTAGAACGTACACGTTAGCGCCATAATCTTGGTCAAAATCAATTGTTTGTTGACTTCTATTTTCGTCATTATCATCATCAAAATCAAGACACTTGTCGCCATTAACGACTTCATGATCATGTTCTTGAATCCCATGTTTTCTGCCATTAGCATCATAAGCTTCGTAAATACCCAATCGCTGTTGACTCATTTTGATTAATTCGCTATCTTCTTCATCAAGACGCTTTCCGACATTGATAACTTTTCGATCATGTTCTTGAATACCCTGTTTTCTGCCATTAGGATGATAATCTTGATCAAAACATTTACTTTTCTTGATTACGTGATCATCATCATCATCAGCATCATCATCAAAAATATGAACACCCTTTTCGCGATTAATAGCTTCTTGATCATTTTCTCGAGTACCCTTTTTTCTGCTAGCTGAAATTAACGCTAAATGACCCCTCATATGACCTCCCAGCTTCTTCCCATTCGAAAAACTTTGTTCACAATATCTGCACACATGAATCTTCTGTTCATGATCTTGTTTCATGATTCAAGATCGAGAATACCCAGATTGAAATTCAGCAGAAAAAACGAAGAAAACAGAGGAAACTAGCAAAAACGAAAACCCCTAAATTTTAGGAAACGATAAACCCTAAATCGAATTTGTTAAGATCATGGAGAACAAAAGGCTAATCTGATCACATGAATGGAATCCATTTGGTAAAGACTGGATCTTGGGGAAGCCCAAGATCGATTTTACTCTCTCTCTCTCTCTCTCTAAAGCGTATTCTCACTCACGCACACATACGCTTGGTAGTTATGACTTATGATCTGTGACTTTAAAATATATAATTATATATAGTTATATACTACGAAAAAACATATTTTATAAAGTATGGGAATTACCTTTACTATGAAAATATATAAAAACAGATCATATAAGTTTTTAATTTTGCACCATTTATTATATTATTATATAAAAGTTGTAACGTTGGTAGTGTATTATTACTATTATTTTCGTATATATTATCAATAAGAATAATGAATTCAAAGCCTTCCAACTATTAAAATTACAAAAATCTCACGTAAATTTAAACATATAATAGTAACAATACACTACCAAGTTATCAATTTAGTTTTATTAGCCCCAAGTTTCATGTGAAATGATTATTATAGTTTTTGCTTTTTTTTTTTCTTTTTAAGTAAATTACAGAAATGGTCCTTATTGTTTGTTCATAATCACACGCTTGATCTAACCTTTGAAAAATTAATAGATTGCATCATTATGTTCAAAAAATCACAACGTCTACCAATTTAAAAATACGATTTTACTTTTTTCAAAAATCTTTTTATCTTTTTATTTTCCACATTTATAATATTAATTAATATAAAAAAAAGCTATCTCATCCCACCCCCATCTCATTCCGCAATCGACCCTAATCTTATAAATTATCTCTCAATATCAAGAGGTTCCAAAAACCCCATACCTTTGTTCCACCTTACACTTGTTGGAGAAAATGCACAAAACATCATACCATTCTTCCTTATTCACCCTAGAATCTTGATTCAATCAATGTGTCTCAATTTAAACAATGTATGGATCAAGATTGGGAATGATGAAAAACGTTGTCGTCTCCTTTCAAACCACATTGCAACAACAATAATCATTTTAAAACACATACATTCATATGTATACCAAAAAAGAATCAGTGAAAGCACATTTGAATCCATAAATTAATTTTTTTTGTAGTCGATTCAGTAGGAATTTGCAAAAATAATGGGCAGGGGATGACAAAAAATCAAGAGATTATTGCCCCACAAATTCAATAACAAGGAATCTCTCTCTCTCTCTCTCTCTCTCTATATATATATATATATATATATATATATATATATATATATATATATATATAGAGAGAGAGAGAGAGAGAGAGAGAGAGAGGGGGGGGGGGGTTATTGCCAAAAAGCCCTCAAATTTACACCAAATATTTGGTTATGCCCAATGTCCGTTTTTTGTGCATAAATGCCTACTATTTGCACAATTGTTTTCATATTTCCCATTTAGTAGGTTAGCAGGTCATCCACTCCTGGTAGCCGGTTGCAAGAGTGGTGCGTCTTCATTAGGCTTCTACCTATCAGGTAAAAACATGGCTTCAACACCTCACCATCATCATCGATACTTACCTCCCACCATCATCTTCATCAAGTTTCATTAGAAAAAAGAAAGGAAATAAAAAGCAGAATCGCAAACCCTAAACCCCTTCTACTATTCATTGTCTTCTCCAACTACTGCTAATCGATTCGTCATACATGCCTGAAATCATATTCTTTTTGAATAACCTACATGATCGATTAAGCAATAATGGGTGGGGCTTAGTGCTCGATTGAAGAAGGTTTGGTGCATCTCTGAATCTCAACCCATCGGTCAATGAGAAAAACAAACACACTGTGTATTCAGTCTGTAATAATCAAACAAACCCAAAGTTGTGTTCATCTTAAAAACCCAAAATTTGTGTTCATCTTCCCACTAGGCATGGTAACCCAAATTTGTGTTTTAATGGTTGTTTGTGTTCATGTTGCTTTAAACCCGTATTTCAGAATCCAAATCTTCAAGAACATTGGTGGTATAAATTGATGTGGAGAAGGCGAGAACAAACCCAGATCTTTCAAGAACAAACGATCTCAAATCTGAAATGTTGTTTCAAAATATCTTTTTTGAGTTATGAGTTCTTTTAATGTGTGTATGTGTTTTTCAAGAACAAAACCCAAATCTTGTTTGAATTCTTCTTGTTTGAGTTCTAAATTTTGTTTCCACAATCTCGTTTCAAGAACAAACCCGAATCTTCAATTTGAAATCGATGCACACCAGGTTCTTTAGTTCTGAATCTAAAATCCTTTCCTTGTTTGAGTTTGTTCTGAAATCTTCTTTGAGTTCTAACTTCTTGCTTGAATGTGTGTGCATGTTGTGTTTCAGTTATAAAACCATGTGTGTTTGGGGGGAGAAGACGATGATGGTGTGATTAACAGTTAGAGTGACCGACTAACATGTGTGGAGTGACCTACTAACAAGCATTTGACCTGTTAAATGGCAAATATGAAAAACAATTGTGCAAATATTAGGCATTTATGCACAAAAAACGAACGTTGGGCATAACCAAATTTTTTGTGTAAATTTAAGGGGTTTCATGGCAATAACACATATGTATATGACAAAATTTCACAAATGGTCCTTATGGTTTTAATATTGTCCCCAAAGCAATCCTTATAATTTTTTTGCATGAATGGTCCCTGTCCATAAAACTTAGCACACCATTGGACCTTTTGGAGAAAACTTCACATACAAATGGTCCTTATGACTAACTAATGACTAACTTTATAAAATCTCATGTTAAATCCATATGAAATTACATTTTTACCCTTTAGTTTTGCTATCTCTCTCATTCACTCTCTTAAAAAAACACCACCAACCTCACCCACCCCATTGTCTTCTTCTTTAATCACTCATCTGCAACTCAACATAATGAAATTTTATAAATACACACACTTAAATAATAAAACGCTGGAAATTGGTAAACTCCATTGTCTTCTTCTTCTAGAAGGATTGAATTCATAGATCTTGTACAAATTTTGGTAACTTAAAAAATAAAACACAGATACACACACTGAAAATTGATAAACCCCATTGTATTCTTCTCTATTGTTCCCCTATTCATCAAGAACACAAATACACACAGATCCTAAGAGCTCTCGATCAAAACCCCCTATTTTTTAGTTCAGATCATGCAATAAACAATATAGAAATAGAGGAAGGGTTTGGGGAAATATTATATGGTTTTTTTAATTCAGATCATCCCATAACAAATCTTTAAGATGCCCTTCCCTTAGCCATGTAATTTTTTCAGACTACCTTCTTCTTGCGATGCATCTTCTCGACCACACTTGCCGTCCTTACGATGATTCACAACTGTTATCAAACAGATCTTAGTTTCAGTGGCAAAGATAAACATAAAGTGAGTGGTTATAGTGACGCTAGTTTTCAAACAGATCGAGATAATAGTTATTCGCAATATGGCTAGGTGTTTCTATTGAATAGTGAAGCAGTGATTTGGAAGAGTTCCAAGCAGCCAACAATGGTTGATTTTACTTGTGAATTAGAGCACATCACAACAAGCAAGACAGAAAAGGAAGTAGAATGGTTAAAGAATTTCATTAAAAACCTTGGAGTTGTTCCTTCAGTCCAAGTGCCCATGGAGATTTTCTACGACTGCGAAGGTGTGGTTGCTTTAACCAAAGAACCAAAGGATCATTGGAGATCAAGGCATATCGAAAGAAAAAACCATTATAACCGACATCAAGTTGAAGAAGGCAAACTCGTGGTGAATCGTGTATCATTAGAGGAGAATCATGTTGATCCTCTCACAAAGGCTTTAAGCAAGATCAAGCACTTCGAGCATGCTAAGAGCATTGCGCTAAGAAATGATATTAGATTCTAGATTTTAGTATTTAGTTGATACTTTTGAAACAATACAACAACAATAAATTGGAATTGAATGATGATTAAGTAATAAAGATTTATTTATGTTCAAAGAGTATGATACCAAAGTCAATTAATTTATTCTTGTGTTTCACTTTGCATGTTTTACTTCCTGAATATTAATTTCTTCGAAATGCCACAGTTGGTCATACTTTAGGGAGTATGTACTGATTTAATATTTTCATGGAATATTTGTAGATTGTCCATGGTGACTGGACATTGCATAGGGATCGATGCAATATTCATGAGTACTTAGAAAATAGGTATTTTGAGTATTGGTTAAACCCATGCTTAGAGTTTACTTTATGGATTCAATCAAGAGTAATTCTAAGACAATACTATCTTCTATTCTTAAAATAGAGATATATAAGTCATAGTTTGGAAATCTGTTGTGTATTGGTTTTGTATCAACGCATCCATAACTGAATGTCATAAAATGTAATTACATGTATGATATGGTGAGTAAAAGGTATAACTATATAGTTAAATTTAATTTGTTCCTTTTTCCTATCAATGAAAAGCGATATCTTTGGGCCGCTCGATGATTTGATGTTGAAATTATAGTGTTAGGCCCAGTCGAGACTAAATTGATGTGTTCGATTCATAGTCTGGTGATGTTACACAAATCGGGAAAATCGAAAAATAGAATCTTGGACCATGATATTGATTTGTATCAATGTCTCATGTCCATATGATATCTTGAAGAATGAAGGAATAGCTGATCACTTATCTTAGGGCTAACGTCTGATTTGATCAGAGTTTGGCAGTGGCTTTAGAAAGCACACTTTACTGGTTATTGAAAGGATATACTTGCAATTGTAGTTGGTGACTTATCTAAGTGGGGGACTGTTGGATTAAGTGTCTAAGGTCTTAACTAAATCAGTATAATCTTGGTAAATAAAAGTAAAGTACTTTTTTGGGTTGCCATCATAACCATGAAATAGCTTGGATTGATATTAAGAGAGAGATAAATGATTTATTATTATATTATATGATTAATATATTAATTAGAA